AAAAAAATTTTTTTTTTGAAATGCAGCAAATAAAATGTAACCCCAATTTCTGTGTTTAAAAGAGACGAAACTGTATAAATACTTTTGGAACTATTATTACACCATTTTTATTTAATGTATCTGATTTTGGCTACAACATTACAAAGAAGAGTTGTAAGAAACAGTTGGAATGTTAAATACAGTTTGGTTATTGCTTGTAGAAGTATTTGGTATAGATTTTGTTTTACAAGCTGGAAATTTGAAGATTAAGGTGCCTCATCAGATGAACTTGATATTGAATTGCATTTGATTCTGTATTGTAAATAAAAAATATAAACTTCTAAATAAACATGTCATTTTCACTTTTTTTGTAAGTCAAGTAACTCATTCAGCATTGCAAGAGCCAACTAACCCTTTGCTAATTACTTTTGACTTCCACATTCATATCAAAACAACGAGTTTGTGATTTCTTGAGCTAACTTCACATTAACATCTTGATTGGTAGTCCCCCACTGGCTCAGCGGTAAGTCTGAAGGCTTTTAATGCTAAAAACTGGGTTTTAATACCTACAGTTGTCACAGCACAGATAGCCCATTGTGTAGCTTTGTGCTTACTTACAAAGAAACTTGAGTGGCAGCTAATAATGGCTATAATAACCTGTGTTAGTAGTATGAATGCACTCAATTGCATTAGTTTCGTATGTTTTTATATAATGTCTTAATTAATTGTTCTTCTGCAGTGAGACTGAGACATCTACTTTTATGCAGCTGTCATTCTTTTTGTTTTTAAAAGCTGCAAGTTTTTATCATTTATATCAAAATAAAATAAATAATTTTTACTTTTGGTAGTTTATTTTCCAATAATATATAATAGGTAGGTGGAACATGCCTGATAATCTCTCTAACATCTATCATAAGAAAGTAGTTATTAAAAGACTAGGGATATCAGGTTTGTATCATACGACATCTAAGTAGTTTAGCTATAGTTTACTAACTTCTGAATTTCTCTAACACATGTTGCTAAATGTTCCTTTGTTGCTTAGCTCTACAGAAGTAGATGACTGTTGATTAATTCAGCCATGCATTGTTGAGATACAAACATACACTATCCTACCAAAAGTCAATGGAACACACCTCTGATTTCAGGAAAATGGGTGTGTCGACGAAAGATGCAAATAGTTTGGCCTATAAAGGTGATTAGCGGTTCACTTGTAAGTCATTTCGAACTTGTATGCCGAATGATGAGTACACAGAAAAAGCTAACAGAGGGGAAGGATAATTGGATGTAATTTGGGGAAAATGTCTGTACATGCTATTGTGCAACAATTAAACATTCTTAGGCTGACAATTGGCAACAATGCTGAAGAAATGGAAGTCCACAGGTGACAATAAGCTCAAGAAACGACCAGGTAGGCTTAAAATATTGACCGACAGGAGTCAACGAGTCTTCAGAAAGCTGGTTACCGCATCTCGCCATCAGACCCTAGAGAACCTGTGTTTGGAGATGCTTGTAGCCACAGGCAATCCTATAAGTGTTTCCATGACACATTGAGAGCTGCCTGCTGTGAATTTTCATGGAAGAGCTGCAACCCACAAGCCATTGATAACAAAAACAAATGCGTGCTGTCGATTGGCATGGGGAAAGGCACACCGAACCTGGACCATGGATCAATGGAAATCGGTCCCGTGGAGCGACGAGTCATGCTACACACTCTTCTAGTCTGATTGACATGTTTGGGTATGGAGGATGCCTGGAGAACACTTATTACCCAAGTATGTTGTCCCAACAGTGAAGTTTGAAGTTGGTATCATGGTCTGGGGGTACTTTTTGTGGTATGGACTAGGTACGTTGGTCGCAATGAATGAATCCAACCAATGCCGAGTCCTACATTGATGTTCTGAACAGTTCTGTGTGTCCTACATTGTGGCATTTTATGGTACCAGCCCTTACACCTTCCAACATGATAACGCTCCATGTCACACACCAAGGATTGTGAACACGTGGTTTGATGAGAATAACATCAGAACATTGCAGTGGCCAGCACAGAGCCCTCAACCAGGTAGAACATCTTTGGGATGAACTGGAATGTAGAATTAGGGCAAGGCCAAGATGGCCCTCTTCAGTAGTGGAGCTTACTAATGCTTTAAATGAGGAGTGGAACAAAATACCACCAGCTTTCTACCAGAAATTAGTAGACAGTCTTCCACGATGCATTGAAGCAGTCATTAGGGCTAAAGGCGGGCCAACACGCTATTAATTTCTTGGAATAAAGACATGTTTTATTCATAACTTCTTAAGTCCCATGACCTTTAGCAGGATAATGTATATATTATCAGATTTACAAAATTTCTCTGAAGATGGCTTATAAGGAAAAAAGAAAATTAACTCCTTGTAAACATAATCTACTCACCTGAACAAAAAAAAAAATTAACTCCTTGTAAACATAATCTACTCACCTGAACAAAAAAAAAAAAAGTTTAATTCCTTCCATTTTCTGCCCACTCTGCTTTTATGCTGTATTTAAGATTCATAAGTTAAGCAGTATCGGCACCTTGTCTCAGTATGTTGCAAAATACATTTGTATTTGAGTGGTAAATGTAAATATACCATTAAAAATTCTACTGAATTTGTTGAGAAAATTAAACTTAATCCTTCTGATATGTTGGTATCATTTGATGTAGTTTTGTTATTTACTGAAATCCTGGTAGAAAATTCTCAAAATTGTTCTCAGGATAGATTAGTTCAGGCTTTCACTTCTCCAAGTGAAGTTGTTAGCATTATTAATTAACCTAGAGAATGTGTTGAAAATTCCTTTTTCAAAGTTAATGAAAAGTACTATAAGCAGAATATTGAATTCACCATGGTTTCTCCTTTCTTCTCCACTCCTGTTCAACATTTATATAAATAATTTTCAATGTATTGCTCTTGATAATACTTCAGCCTGATTGTTGGTTTAGATCTGTGGATGACAAATCTTGATGCTGCCTAATTAAAAACTTTACTGATTACTTAAATAATGTTGATCCTTCTAGACCTATTCAGTTTGCCTTTTTTGTCAGATGTAGTTGTTAAAGAAATAACAATGAAACTATTTTTACAACTGTTTATTGGAAACCGTATCCATTCTCCATGCTGCCACATAAAAGATCATGCTAACCATTTTCTCATAGTTACGTAGAAAAAGCATCTAAAATTGGTTTTTAAACCATTCATTTTTCAAATGAATTGTATTATATTGAAAGTATTGCTAATGATAGAGGTTTTATTGTTGACGTCACTTAACATATAATACAGTAAAAAACATAACTCAAATTTTATTATGTACTACAATAAATAGCCTCTATGATAAAATACTTAATATTAACACATACCCTAGACGTAACTAGCCAAATCACAAACTTCTTCAATGATTATAATCTCTCTCACGTCCAGCTTCAGTGATTCAGTGCTGCTCTCTATATGCAAACTTTTTCACTCACCACTAGTCTTGAGGCTCCCACCTAATCTCACGTGATATTGTTGCATGCAACAACCCTCCATCAATAGGATTGTGGCACTGCCTCCTAGCACGGCTGACTCTATACTGATTGTTCAGTCATCACATTTTGTTATAGCACTCCTATGTTAAGATGAGTCTTTGTTCCCGTGAGATATCTCAACATCAACATTTGATTGAAGTATCTACAAAATCAAATGTTGTGGAAATATTGTTTCCAAACAATTCTGCTTCTGCAGACTTTGTGGCTCATTTTTCCACAACATGAATTACACAGAGATGGTCATTTCCATGCTGTTTAGTGTTGAACATCTGACCTTTTGTTCACTTCAAAAAGACTACCACAGTGGTGTCAAGGGGGTATGACGGCTACTGTATGATGGAGTCTTGCATGAGGTCTAGGCATTTTTAAGGCCTTGACATGGATTTCTCTCCTCCTGTTATTCACATTTATGGGGATGTGGATTATACAGTCTTTTTCCC